ACTCCATTTTTTCATATTGAGATAACAAAGCTAATATCAGATATTAGCCAGAACACGGTCACACTCAAATCAAATTTGGTGCGTGCTGTGTAACTCCACTGCCTGTCACTGATAGCTGATTTGCGCAAGGACTCAGGTGGTGGTCATCCAATTAACTGGTCATGTAGCATCATGATGCAGAATGAGTAAGAGGAAAACTGCCAATAAAAAATGCAACCAAATCAATTTCAAGTCTTGACTTTCTCTAAGCCAGATGGGACGCATGGTGGCCCCTGTCGCAGAATCTCTCCATAATTTATCTATTCTGCATTTTTATATTACATTATTGCTGCAATGCCTGCGGCTGTCCTTTCGTTCTTTTCTTTCTTTATTTGCAATGGGCAATAAAAAGAACTGATTAGGTAAGTCGTAATGCAAAACCTCACAGCTGCTGAAAATAAAATAAAAAGGCAAATTTGAAAGCATCTGAGGGTGGTGCAAATGTTTTCCAATTCAGGACACTGACATGTAATCAAGCTGCTTTGATTTTATATTTTATATTAAACTGTTTTACATTCATTCAAAATGATCTGTTTGTGGGTTCAAAATTGCATGATATTGTGATTTCAACAGAAAATACTTTTTAAGATGTGGACTAAGCAATTCGGCAAACATGACTCTATCTTGGCTAACGTCTGCTAAAGATGCCGAGTGTAAACTTCCCCAAATCCAATAAAGAGCAGAACATAGCTGCTAACGTTAGCCTAAACTTCTGCACAGTGGGCAAATACTACACAGTGAATGCGTTAGTTGTAAACAGGCTCTTTTTTTAAACATAATGTCAGACCACAAACTAATGTATATTAGCTAGCTGTTGATGTGATCCTTTGTAAGTAACGCTGGGTTACTACTGTGGGTAGTAAGCTAGTTGCCTGCACATACTAATGTTTGTATTGCTCTTACAGGCCTGCAGTGCCTGTTATCGTTGCTAAGATAAAATTGGACAATCATTTAGGGGGAGGATTTAGCGGAGGGTTCAACTGATCTATTGAAATATCTTTAAAAAATTTATTTATTAACTTTTATCAGTAGCTTAGTGCTTGAGATTAAAGCATGTTTTGTGCAGAACTGAATTAAAGTATACTGTCTATTCATTTCCCATCAAAAATGTTAAATGCACTCATGTATTTCAATGGACACACACACACACACACACACACACACACACACACACACACACACACACACACACACACACTCTTTCATGCACATATACACAGGTGTGTGCACAACAGGGAGCTCTAAAATGTTGTTCCACAAGATCTGTTGTTGCCATGGTATTGCGCTGCATCTCCTTACATTGCCATGGAAACACAAAAAAATGATGACTGGCATGGAGCTTTACGTGAAGTGGGTCAAGAGCATCCGAGTCAAGTCAAGTCAAACCAGATTTATTTGTTCAGTCGGGTATTAGATCAAAGGTGTCAGTGGGATTTACAGGTCAACAACAGCAAACAACTCAACCGATCCAGTCCAGGCTGCTTAAGAAGACAATAAATATCTGTTTGCATATAAGGAAACTAAAGGCTTTCAGGGTTAATTCATGTCCTGGTAGTCTTTTCATTAACTTTAAATAAATTACAGACACCGGAGGGCAGTTTTTCTCCATTGTTCAGATGCACCACTCAACAGTGTTGTGTTCTAAGACTACAAATGCAGCAACGCAAGGATCAAAGCTTCAAATGCTTTCTGGTTTTCATCATTCAACACAAGTGCAGACACTGGGTGCAGATTTCACCTGAGAGACTTCTGCTCACAGTATTCTCAATCTTGTTCCAATAATGAAGAGGAATCTGTTTCTTTTAAAACATAAGATTGCAAAGAAGAATCAGAAATCCAGTTTTTATAGATGAAGATTTACACAACATTTGAAAAAGTTGACACATAATTGAAGTAAAATGAAAACCTGGTCAGCAAACATTCATTCTTGAGTAATCGTGACTCGATCAGATCAAGCTTTTGTGGGCCACTGGCTGAGTGTACCTGAATTATTATGACTCATTAACCTTCTTTTTAAGCCTCCCATTCAAGGTCGCCACCAAGGGGTGGCAGGGGAGAACAGCTGTCACCCCTAAACTGCTATAAGACCAGTTACATACAACTCAGAATGCTAATTATTCATTAATTACAAATTTTTCATTGTGTGCATTGTTGTAATTATAGTTTGGTTAAATAGAATCTCACTGTGCTTCGTAAAATCACACTTTCATATGCTGCGTGTTACAGAGAGTACCGTGCAGGTTGGTTGAGCACCATCAAGCCGTTTTAGATCAACAGTAACATGTAATATTCACTACAGTGAGACCACATTCAATACAAGAAGACTATGAAAAATTCATGCAGTGTTGAATATGTGGATTATAACTGCAATGGAAAATATATCAAGAGTCAAAAAACTACTTGTCCTAAAATGTATCTGTATGACTGTGAGAAATCAGCTTGATCTGAAATCGCTGGAATTTCAGTTGTTTTCAGATTTGCAGTAATGTGACAAGAAACATACATGAACAAGGGCTAAAAATAGTGTTTCCACCTCAGTGTACAGGAACATTGCTGCCATGAGGCTGAATAAACAGCCTACTGAAGGCTGGTGCTGACATCTAGGGGTGGATAGAGTCAGTGCTTCCAACAAGATGTGTGAGAAATTAACAAACTGTACCGTTACCGGAAAGAACTTACTCATATAAGACAAAACAATAAATAAAATTTGTTTCTGTTTTTTACTGTATGTGACCATCATTGTTATTATAAGGAGATGAATGAGATGGTAGTAAGGTGGCAATAGTGCCAAAAGCGATCATAATTGTTGCTGTTATTGTTGCTATTGATGCTTTTTTTCTAGTCTACCGAGCTCTCACATTGTCATTCTTACAAACTGTACACCTCGCACTCCTATGCATACCAATACTTATTATAGCAAGCCTTTATTAACATAGACACAAACACATACCTCAGATACCCCATCACTAACACCCTTCTTTATTCTGCACACGTATTTTCTCTTGCTGTCAACATGTTTAATTTCTTTTTCTTTGTTATTTCTTTTTCTTTTAACAGGATTTGATGTCCTGCCTTTTACAGAACACTTTTGTCACATTAAAAATATATTAATTTTTCTAATTATGCAATTCACTTGTCCAGACTTAACAGCTAGACTATGCATATTGCCAGGAAACAGTACCCACATTTCTCTCCCCGATTTTCATTATGTCATATTTATTATATTTTTTTTAACCACCATAATCAAAGTAGGGCAAAGGAGGAGTATAGGCTAGTGTGCTGATTTATAAAGAAAGGACATATTGGTACTTATTATTTTATAATTTTGTAATGAAACCCTAGCAAAAAGCGTCGTGGAACTAATTTTAGGATCTTACGAGCAGCACTTGAAGGCACCACGCTGTCCACTCTTGTTGGCGTGTGTCACTTCTGTCCCCCTCCGGTTCAGCTCCTGTCTCCGGAGTGTCTGACTGCCTTTGGGGTGTGTCTGCTGGAGATAGTGGTGGGGAACGGCAGCTGCATCAAGTGAGCCTCAAACACACAGAATAAGACCGGAAGTTGTACGATTTTGTGTATAAAATAAAAGCACTGCCACTGTGAGTACATTTTCAAATGGGTGAAAAACAAGAATTGATTGAGTGCACTGGAAAACATAATTTGGAAATAAAGAAATTTCAATGTATATGGTAAATAGACAGTTTGGTAAGATAAATTATGACTACAATTTGACATCTCACCAACCTTTTTCCAAGCACAGCTACTACAAAATGCGGTAATGATAGTTTTTCCCCTTAAAACTGTGATTGTTGAGAAGGTTTTTCTGGCGAATACCTAACACAACAGCTTTCAAACCCTAAGATTTTGGCCTTGACCTCTAAAAGTATCTGAATATCTCGAGAGAACCCTCCGGTTAGCAGGAATTTACTCCCATTCAGCCACAAGAACATCAATGAGGTGCTATGATGATGTTGGGTGACAAGGCTGGCTCACACTCTGTGTTTCAGTTCATCCAAAGGTGCTGGATGGGGTGGTGTGGTCAGGGCTCTGTCTCTGAAAATCAGGGTCTTCCACACCAAACTGGGAAAACCATTTCTTAATGGACCTTTCATGTTACAGGAAACAGGACAGTCTTCCCTAAACTGTTGGCACAAACTTGGAAGCACAGTGTTGTCTAAAATACAATTGTATGCTGTAGGTTATGATTTCCTTAAATCGGGATAAAGGCGCCTAGGCCACACCACTTTCATCCCAATGGGCTTTAGACATAGTGAAGTCTGGAGCCCAAGTTCCCCTCCCAGAATCCTAAATGCAAATTCCCCCAAGTTTGCCGAAAATAAATGAATGAATAAATAAAAACAGAGGTCATGACCCCAGTATCCATACCAAAAGTAGCCTACACAAAAATATGTGAGCAGGGGCATGTGTTATCACTGAGCTGTGTGCGCAGACTTTCCTATTATCTAATAAACCATTTAATTGTCTCTCTCTGCTGTCAGTCTTCACAATTTCACCCCTCCACTGTCGCACTGTCACCAGTAACACGGCCCTGTCTAATGCAATGAGGATCTCTCTTTATAGGCTATGTCCCTCTTTATTTCTCAAATTGACTGAATTCATTTTCATTTGTCTTGAATCTATCTATCTATCTATCTATCTATCTATCTATCTATCTATCTATCTATCTATCTATCTATCTAAATGTCGATCTATCTATTTTAATGTGAAAGTTTTGACCGGAACTACTTGGTGAAACTCCTTTACGCTTCACTCTGATGGTAAAAACTGTAGAGCTCCCGCCTCATCAGACACCTTTCAGACGAGAAGGCAGCGCGCGCACGGCTCACGTGCGGAGGTAAAATGCAGCTGAATAACGGGACGAGGCTCACGAGTCTGCCGCTGGCTGTCACCGAACATTAGTTTTTTTTTTTTTTTTTTTTTTTTTGTTTTTAGAAGAAGGAGCCATGAAGAAACACCTGAGTCCTGCTAAACAACAACAGCAGCACCAGCAGCAACCACCGGCTGATGTCCCGGCTCCAGGCGGCGAGGTTACTGTCCAACAACTCAACGAGCTCCTGTCCAACGGCAGCGGCTTCTACAGCCTCCCCACACAACATTTCAACGAGGTCTTCCCCAGAATATACATCGGTAACGCGTGAGTCAGTCAGTCACCATCTCTTCACATGTGATAATGATGAATGGATTTGTGCTGTCTGTGGCGGTGTTTGACACTGACAGGTAGGACAGGTTATTTAAGACGCTCCCTCCCCATCCACCATTCACCATCCACCGAACCCACCAGACACGACAATGACAACAGTGTCGCATGTCGGGCGCACACAGGGCGGGCTTGTTATTTTGGTGTCTCCGCTGTCACCGTGGGCCGAGCGACAGCCTGTTGTTGTCAACAAATAACCGGTTGTCCTCGAAATACCAGTATACCAGCGGCGTCAGTGTGTTTCAGTAGCCAGACAGGTGGCTATTGTGTAACACTGTAACATAATTATAATAATTATTATAATAACTATTAATATAAGTGGGATTCAGATGTGAAGGATGATACAAAGACCTGTTTTTACTCCGTGAATCCCTCCATCATTATTATCACTGCCTTGTAATCACGTCCTCATCAAGCCGCTCCCCACTCCCCTCTGCTGAGCTGCAGAGCCACAACAATCATCACATGTAAAAAAAAAAATAGAAAAAAAGAAAGAAAAAGAAAAGGGACTTTGTTTTCATTAATGAACAACAGGCGGTCTCCTGCAGAACAAAGAGCAAAGTGAATTTTGGCATCGTGAAAAAAGCAGAAGCAGAAAGCTAAACTCATTTCAGTCTCGTCTTTGTATAAGCAGTCTACACCTTTATGACCTAAATGTGTAGCAATTAGGCACCTAATTAATCGATTTATAATGGTTAATGCACCAGTTACTAGTGCCTTATGGATCAGTTATAACCCTTTAATTAGAATAACTTTTGGGTTGCCAGATTGTGGAAAATCCTCCTCTAGCAGACTCTTTCCTTGCCCATCAGAGAGACCTCCCCAGGACTGTTTGACCTGCAGCACATCTGGATTAAAATCCATTTATACACTCATATATTGTCTGATTTTCTTTTCTTTTTTTTTTAAACATAAACATGAATTTGGTTGCAAATGAATTACGTAACGATCAAACTCTTTTCATTATTAATTCATCTGCTTATTATTGTCTAGACAAAGCAATAATCATGAATGTCAAAGGGTGTAGCAACTATTATGCCATATGATCAAATAAAAATAAAGTTTTTCAATGAAACAGGGCTGCAGCTAACAATTATATTTATCATCAATTACTGTGTTGATTATTTTTTTGATTAATTAATTGATTATTGGTCTTTGAAATATCAGAAAATAAAAATACAGTTTCTTAGAGCTTAAAATAATGTTCTTGAAAACTGCTTGAAAGTAGCCAATGCTCACGATTACACAATTAAGGGGCTGGAACTAGGTAATGTTAGTCACTTTGTCAGTCTGCTAATCAATTAATCAACTAATTGTCTCAGATGTAAAAGGGAACATGACAAAGAGTTAAAAAATGATATTGTAAGTATTCTTGAGGGGAACACTGTTTTTAAATTACCTTTAACATGTCTGTGGTATTTCTGTACTGTAATATGATGTTATATATTGGCCACCATACAGCCTGCTAATACCAATGTGTGATTTGCAATATCAGCATGATATGGGGCTACACTAGATATCTCCCTTCTAAAGCTGTTTTAAGGCCGGTATAATCTAAGAGCTGACTTTAATGTTGTGCTGCAGAACATAAAACACTGTAGCTCAAATAAAGAAGACATTGTTTTCTTTGTGTATAATCACATTACTGGACAAATAAATACCTGCCTTGTAATTTAATTCGAGCTCTATTGCCTTTATCAAGCCATGAAAGGTGCTGAGCTCACAAACAAACACATGCATGCAGTGGATATACTGTATATGCATATGAAACACAGCAGAGGCTGAACCATAAATCCACGGTTGTAGGTTGACTGGGTGCTATTGGGTTTGTCATGAACATGCCAACTCTTTAGGAATTTACAGCTCGGTGTTACAGTAAAGCCACTTCCTGGTGCTTCCTGCACACATATGAACAGATTGTGTATGAGGTGTATAATCTGCCTGCACGACAAAGAGGTAAACAAATACACAACAGCCCTCTCGGTACGGAGGAGAGTCTGCAGATGATGTTCGAGCCATGTCGGCTGCAGATTGCTTGTTGTTCACAGTATCAAATAACTTTTTCTAAAATTAAAATAAACAAATCAATTATGGAAACTTGGCACCAGCTCTGTGTTTTGAACCTCAGTCCTTTTTTAGTAACAACCGAAACGTGTCCATAGTGTTGAATATCCAAAAGTGTCAAGTATCAAAAGTCAGCATTAAAAGCTCAGTCAGATTCTGACACTAATTATATGAATTATATGATCCCTAACCCTAATACTGGATTTCATAAGCCAATACTGATGTCAATATTAGGGAGATAAATATACATCAGCAGATTGTAATTTCTTTTCTCAAATGATTAAAAGAATTGCTTGGTTTATAAAATATCAAAAATAATGAAAAATATCTATAACATTTTCTCATTAAAGGTCTTGTTTAAAATTTACAATGATGTAAAAAGAAGAAAGTGCTCACATTTAAAAAGCTGGAACCAGAGAGCTTTTGCCATTTTTGCTTAAAAGTGGTGATAATCGGTTGATCAGTTATCAAAACAGTCGCAGATTAATTTTCCTTAGGTGACTAATCAAATAATAACTAATCACTGACATTACACCTAACATAAACTATTTTGATGCAGATTCCTGAAGTATGTTTTTATTTTAAATTGTGACTTTTTAAAATGGACATTTTACAGTTTTTATTGGTGTAGGTCAAATAAAGATCACAATTTCCTGAACAAAATCAGAAAATATTATATATTATAACTTTAGACTGTCTTTTATTTTGACAGGGTGCTTTCTGTACAGCTAATGCAATGAGCAGTTTGCCATATGTTATTAAATTAATAAAAAAAAGGTTTATATTCCCTAAACTAACAGTAATTTGTGATAACTCAGGTATCATATTTGCACCTGTATAGAAAAGTGTGAATGATCCGCAGACCTACTGTATGTAGCATTACTGTTGTTAACCATTATTTCCATGGTAACTCCTTGATCGTGCTACACGTGTGGAAAGACTCCTTGATATAGTAGATGGGAGACTCACAACTAAGATCAAAAATACAGAACACACTCAGCAAAGTGATCGTACTTCCTCTGCAGTCTTTCAGGTTTGTAGCAGTGTAAAACCCAAACACCCAAATTAGCACAAATGCCAGAAATCATTTTCAGGTTTCAAGTGTCAAATGTGTGGAAACAGCCAGTAGAGGAACATTGTGGAAAATGTAATTTTCAAATATATTCTGCTGAGTTGTAATGTAATATAAGCTTTCACGGAGCAGCTCTTAATCTCACTTATAGATTCACAGTAGAGAGCCGGTCCAGGGATGCCCCCTGAGAAACTGTCTCTGTGCAGTCCATCACTTGGCTCCAGTCGCTGCCAACAGAGTGGTGGAGGAGGGCGAGCGGGACGAAATACAAGCACATTACTGTACCTCAGAGCTACAACAAAATCAATGTGAATATGCCAATCTGCCCGGCCAAGTCTCCAAACAAAGCGCTGGCGGTCCTGTCCGGTGCACAGCTGAGGCTGATCACACACGGACCCCAGTGTGCTTCCTGATTTCTTTTGAGGAAGAGGTTTTGATGTCTGATGAAGAAATCATGTTCACTGATTATGAAGAACAGAGTTTTTGGTAATCATTGAAAGGAGCATTTTGCTTTCCTCTCTCTTACCCGAGGCCATTAGTGAACTATTTCAATATTAAAGTATATCACAGACTTTCCAAACAAGTTGAGAGGGCAGTGCAAAGTAGTCTGATGTTACAAATGGCTCAGGCAGGGCGAGCCGGTATTGATTGTTGATTAAAGCCTGCGCTTTGTCCACTGTTTCCACCACTGGGATCCACTAAGCCTTTCTGCTGATGTATCTTATTAGTTTTACCTTGTTACAACTTAAATTGTGTAGTTTGCTGGGAAACTACGATCAAAACAAATGCACCGATTAACACAGTACTACAGTAATATCTATATGGTGCAGACTGCTATTACATGACTCAGATTAGAAGAAGATATGTCCTCGAAAATGTTCATTGCAAATTGTTAATGGAGCTGATTCCAATTATGAGTCATAGGATCCCCCAGGAATTTTGCCCATTAACCATTTTAAGGCCCCATATATAGTTTAACTGTAAAGTGCTATAATTTTCAGGTCATGGCACAGTTAAATTAAGTTAGTTAATAATTTAGTTCAAAAACCTGAATATTTTCATGACCCACGATGGGTATTTGGTGAGGAAAGACTGAAACTCAGGTTCAAGCAGACAAGTGAAGATCGGACGTTTGACTGGACTTGATTGACTGTGGCCTGGCAACCCCACAACTGTCACATTTTGATGCAAATGTTTCTAAAATGTGATTGGTTACGTGACCTCCATACTAACTATATCATCTTTTTCCAATGTTGCCCTGCCCCCTTTAAACCAGTAATAAAAACTGAGAAAACAGGTTTTCAAGCCCCCCCCCCCCCCCTGCCACCCAGAGGACACTGAGTATATATTTGTTAGTTTGGAAACCCTAAACCCCCAAACCCCAATTTAGGTTTGATAAAAAAAGAGAAAAAAAGCTAATTTTTCTCTCACAAGTATTTTTGAGTTTGACCTGCAAAAAAAAAAAAAAAAGAAAAAGCTCCTGTACACTCACAATACTTACATTTCATCCAACATGCGTCAGTAATTGCGTACAGTATATGCAGATGGGTGAAAAACACGGGAAAATAAAAAGTGTTATGTTTCCTTTCAGAAGTAGAGCAAATTTTAACAAAATTTCCTGGATATCTGCCAAAGAAAATGCAAATTAATGTGTGTTTTCATCCAGTCCTGTCAGGTGGGATACACAATTTGTGCTAATTCTCCACTCGCAATGAGGTGATATAACGTACAAAAAGTACAAAAGGACAAAATATAATGGAAATTCTGCATTTATGTTTGTCACACATTAAACCGTCTCCTCATCGCTCCACATACGCCATTTTTTTGTCACTTCTATTATTACCATTGCACTTCATATTTTGTTTTCATCGCTATATCAACCAAGTGTAAAAAAAACAGGTTTTAAATATTTAGACTTTCATATTATTACTAGAGTATTTCCGAGGTGTTGAGCCACCATGAGCCTCAACAGCTTCATCGCCCCTTGGACTAGATTTTGTTTGCCTGAATTCTACTTGGAGGGATGAACATCATTCTTCCAAAATTTGTTTTCTTTTTGTTTGTTTTTTATTTTGTGATGATGGTGGTGGAGAGCGCTGTTTGACATATCGCACCAGTTTAGGTGTTAAATGAGTTTGGGAGACTGAGAAGGTCGTGGATATGATTCTCATCGTTTTCTTTCAGGGAACACCCCTTACCCCGCTTGGACACATCTGAATTTGTTACGTCTCTCCCGTCATTTATTCAGTTTTTTCTTTCAATTGCCAGCTGTCTTTAAATGCAGTCTCCAGATCTGGGCCCATCCAGATGAACTAGCACCGCAGCAATAATCTAGCACGGGTTTAAAATGTTTATCAGTGGGTAATTTGAATTTAACCAGACTTTGGCTAGCACAGCACTTGTGTTGAAGTCAGTGAAATGTTCCCATCCCTAAATGGATTATGACTGTATTTTCCAAACTCACACTCCCTTACACTGTTTTCAGATCAGTAGTAGTCAGCACTCTGAAACCACGGCGTGCAGCTCAGGGACGGACTTGAGGTGTGGTTGTTTGCTTTGAGGAACACTTTGGCTCTTTGTGAAGCTGGTCTTTAATAATGGATGTTGTGGGACTGCAGATCCCAGGGTGAGGAGGCAGGGACAGGCCAGGTAAGTAGGAAGAGAGCCATTGGCTGTGAACTCGATTGAACCCCGTGTTCCTCTGCAAATGTAAATGTGAACAGTGCTGCTCGGATACTTCGCACACACACATTTGCACATGCTTCAACATTACGTACTTTGTATTTGCGTTGTTGTGTAAGTGCTCATACTGCACATGTAAGCATGCATTCGGTCACCGATGCACACAAACTTACACTTAGTCTAAATATACACAAACACGCTCTGAATAAAAAGGGCAAACATGAATGAATGAATATCTTGTGTGGACTTGAGTCCTTGTCACAGTCTCACAGTCTGTGCCCTGCAGCTGACACACCAGCAGATGGGCTGCTTCATCTCCTCTCCTATGGCTGTAAAGCAAAATGGTGGCGGCGAGGACATTCTTTATTAGTTCTTGCAGGAGGGGGGCTTCGCTGCCACCACCTCGAGGGAGCTGTCCAGGGTCACCTAGCCTCGCCTCAGCAGCTTCATATTGACTGTAAGCAGATATTGCAATAAAAGCAGACGGAGCTGTCAGGGCAGAGCGTTTTACAACAAGATTTATGCTTCTGGGGTCTGAAGAGAAGTAAAGAAAATATAGATGAGATACTTTTGTTGAATTTAGAAGAATATATATTCGCTTATACCATATACTGGTAACCAAAGCTGTGATATAATTCCAGTTTTGTGCATGTTTTTATGAAATAATAATCTCTCTTCCAGTGTTTTTGCTGCAGAGAACAAGCATAAACACATATTCTATTGAGCTAATTAGTGACGATAAATGTTTCATAAAACTTTAATATGAAATCTACAAAAGAGGCATTTGATTGTGAATCAATGGGCAGTGCCTTTGGCCAGGTTGGATCAGTGACAGTGGACACAGTGGGCATTCAGCCAGGCAGACCCTGTATCCCTTTGTTATGGTTTGTCAGCCGTATGGGCGTGTTTGCTCTGGATGCTAAAGGCCTAATATGCAGCATTGTGGTTCTTGAAGACAAGTTTATTAGTGCGGGAGGGAAGCAGCGAGAGATTTATTGTTTCCTGGAAGAGTGAAGAGTGGATGGAGATGGAGGTGAAGCCGCTGGAGTGGAGCTGGCTGAGAGGAGAGAGATGTTTAGACGTCTCTTTCTGTCTCTAGTTCTGCTCCAAATGAGTTCATGTAAAACCCTGTGTTTCCATGGCATTGCTTTTTCTTCTTCTACAGTTTCTACAAAATCTGTCTCTTCAACTTTCATTGTTTCACCTGCTTACACTGTTCCCCCTTTTCTCTTCCCGCCTCCCTCTTCTTCCTCATCTCGTACGTCCTACATTGGTAGACTATTGTTACTCTGTTCAGATCACCAAGCTGTTCTCTGTACACATCGCTTAGAAATGGGACATACAGAGTCGACTCTTAGTTATAGCCACTTTCTTTCAGATTTGAGGCTGCAGGGATTTGCTCCCATTCAGCCACAAGAGAATCAGTGAGGTCAAACAGTGATGTGGGGTGACTCACATCTCAGTCTGTGTCCCAGTTCATCCCGAAGGTGTTGAATGGGGGTTGAGGTCAGGGCTATTTTCCACACCAAACCAGGACTACCATTTCTTTATTGAGCTATTTTCTGTCACGTGAAAGAGGAAATGGTTTTTTACCAAACTGTTGCTACAAAATTGTTATTGTCTAAAATAGCTTTTCCTTTAACTTGAAGTGAAACCAAGAACAAAAACAACCCTAGAGGAAAAGTACACAATGTGTGTGTCCACATACCTTTGACCACATAGTGTATATTGGTTACTCTGACATTACTAAGACAGATATATGAATATATAACCGGCATAAGCTACGTGAGTGGATACATACATGGGCAGACTATTAGAGCTGACATTATTAAATCGTTTAGTGAAGCAACAAAATATAAACTTGTCATTCATTTAAGTTATTTATTCATTTATTCCAGTTGCAGCTTTTTCTCTGTTCTCTCAGTTTGAAAGGCTTTGCACTCTCCTGGTCCTCCTACTGTACACTTTCAACTTATCTAGCCTCATTAGGCCTCCTCTCAGGACTGTGTGGGTGTATACAGATTTACAGCCCCCCCCCCCACTCACGCTTGAGACTGTTATATCAGGACAGCAAACACCTTTATCACTTTTATAGGCCTTTTTTCACTCAAGACACTTTGACGTTTCACAGTGGGGGAAACGCACAGGTGTGAATAATAAAATGAACGAGCTCAGCTTTGCTCAACTTCAACCTGAGCTGGGATGTAATCAACCAGATTAAGCGGAAACACCTGTGTGAGTGTGCAGAGCATTTAAGATGACATCTTCGGGATCTCTGCAAAGACGCGCCTCACTTTTTTGTCACAGCAACAATACGCATTTACACCTCCCAGAGGACTTACGGTATTTGGCTTTTGTATCAAGAGGTGCTGTGATGCTGCCAGCACAGACTTCACAAAAATGCATGCTGGGATGTCGAGAAAGTTGCAACCTATATTGTTGAAATATCACTTAAAAATAAATTGTGCTGACACGCCGTGTTCCTGACAAAAAAAAGGATCTGTCAGGTGTTATTATTGGTGCTGTTATTTGTCCCAGATGTCTTTTTCTGCTGCTGTGCACTCATCATTTTGTGTTGTGAGGGAACAAACGCCATCAACAGGGGCTCTCTATAGGTTTATACCAGCAGACTTGTCACACACACATCAATCACCTGCTACAATGATTAAATTAATGTATTTTTCATCTCTGATCATGAACCTAATTTTTTGTCTTACCCAGGTTTGTGGCGCAGAATGCGATGCGTCTGCAGAAACTCGGAGTGACGCACGTCCTCAACGTGGCCGAGGGCACCTCCTTCATGCACGTCAACACCAGTGTGGAGTTCTACACCGGCACGGGCATCACGTACCACGGCATCCAGGCCAATGACACCGAGCAGTTCGACCTCAGTGCCTTCTTTGAGGAGGGGGCTGATTTTATCGACAAGGCCCTAGCACACAATAATGGAAAAGGTGAGTTTATTTGAAGGTGTGAAGAGATTTTTAACTGCATCTGAGGAGAAGCTCAGTTCCAGACATCTTCTAGTCCTTTCTAATTTTTTCCTTTTCTGCTTATTGGTTCATGACTGCTCAGTTAAGAATATCCGTATTGCAAATCACAGTTTGGACCAATATCAAAATTATGCATGATATTCACACGTTTAGAAAAACAGGTTGTGTGAATATGATGCCAAATAAATGTAGTATTTCTAGTCCAGTTCATTCTTCACATCACACTTAGATACTGCCGCTGTGCTTGTCGAGCTTTCTGATCTTGGTACATATGCAGTTTACAATGATAACTACCAGTTTAAATTTGTTATAATTTTTTAAACAATGGGTTTTGTTGGTTTCGGACAGAAGTAGACAAAAGCAGCTTCTCATTTCTAGCCTGTGATTCTGCTTTAATAACTGTCACTGGCAGATTTTATCAGCTGTAGCTAGTTAGCTGTGTAAGGTAATATTAGCTCCGAGAGTTGGTTTAAAACATTAAAAAGTCTCCGGCTGACTTTTTAATGTTTCCAGCTGACTCGTTTTAAAATGGGAACTCTGTAAAAGGGGCTTTAAATATGCACTTGATGGCTTCATAAAAAGCTGCGTGTCCCAGTCTAAGTCTGAGAGCATCCAGGATCAGCTGCCACACAGTGGGCGTGCAAGATGTGATTGAAGCTTTTTGTTTTTTAACTTAACTGGCACTTTTAGGCAGTGTGCTAGTTAGCTGGACAACAATCGCAGCTTGCATTCAAGCAGAGAATCACATTAAATGCTTCAATGTTCCAAAAACGCTATACTGTAGTCTATCCACCCTCTGTCTGAAACGCTTTGTTAGAGCCACAGTCTATCGTTAGAGCTCAGAGCTCTTTAACACCCCCCCCCCCTGAAGCTGACCAATCACAGCCCAGTGTGCTCAGATTGGTCAGTTTTTCCGGAACTACACGTTCCTCTGCGTCTTGCTTTCTTGCGCAGCTGTAAACAAACGGTTGGGGCTGCAAAGGATTTCATGACAATATTTGTGACTTGGAATACTTTCATAAAAAAACCTCTTGGTTTTTAAAAAAAAAAAAATCTGGACACTGGACAAAAGGAATATAAATGATCGAGGAATAGACAGACAACGGAGCATCACCACTTCACAGGTAGGGAGATACCGAGCTAACGATCAGTATGGACAAACGTTTAAGCATTTATATCTTTGCGGGTTGCTAAGGCATTCGGGTCTCCGGCGACCCGGTTAAACATCACTAATCCTCAAATAATAATTAAATGAAAAGTCACAGGTTATGAGCTGCTGGGCGACATAAAGTGGGGGCAGCTGAGTCCCTCAGAAATAACCACTGTGGAAATTCAGCGTGGAATCGTGCGTGGTTTTTGAAGCAGGTGCGGAGGCGCGCAGTAAAATGTTTGAAGGTAAAAATGAACTCCAGCCACTGAGTTCATTTGTGGTTCTGCTGTTGACAGAGCATTCAAAGTAGATTTTTCCAGGCAATTGATAACACTGTGTTGGCATGGCTTCAAAACAAAAAAAACCTTTTCCTTGACTTTCATTTCAAGTAGGTGTGTGCTATGCTGTGTGCCAAGCTTGCAGGGAGTGTCCCGCTTGCAGGTGGGTTTCACTGAGGGACGCGCTGACGTCAATGGGCCTAGGAAGTAGTGCGTGGACCCCCAATGAGGTAAAAAGGTCAAATAGCGGTTGTTTTTGCCCTGACAGAGCGACTCCCTTTGACTTTATAAATCATTTGCATGCACAAAAAGCCATATAATTAATAACAGGTCATCTCTAATTATTACCTTTTATCGTGGATTATAGAAAGGCCTAAAAAGACACCATTGTCCAAAATCTTTGATCGCAGGTACAGCTCGTACTACCGCTACCTGAAGCTCGACAGGCCTGCTGTGTTTAGCTGCATCTAAATGCACCTAAAACCCACAGAGAATTGTTATTTTATGTCTTAAAAAAAAAAACCCTAAATGGTAGAGGAGATGAAAAGGGAACAGAATGTCTTTCTCACTGAGACACGTCATCAAGCTCCTCTTGTTGGTGGCTTAACAAAGGATACAACATTTAAGGTGCCTTTTAATGAGTCAATCTCAATACGCTTCAATGCTGTGGATCTTTAAAGTGAAGACAGGAGATGACTGTGACGGCCCTGAGCATCTCAGGCTAAATCTGACACACTCCTGGGCCTTGCTCCATATTCTGTTATCAGATCACGTCCCTGGACGTCAACATTGTCAAAGCGTCTCATGAACCTGTAGCACCAAAGTTCGATCCACCTCCTTTTTTCCCCACAATAGCTTAGTTATGTTAAACAGGTAAACAGGACACTTTTGTTTCGTGGTAACGGAATAAAACAAGGAATGCAATGAAATGAGAAATTAGGCTTAAATTAGCTGTTTGATATATCTAAGTATTCTGAAGCATGTTATTCAGAATATGGAAACACTCAATCCCAGGAGACTTCAGCCCTCCACCACCATAAAAAAAAAAAAAAAATTTCCCAGCTCTCCCGAAGCTGCATCTAAATTTAGTGCATTTGTCATTGCATGTGAGGAATGTGTCTAATTAGTGCACTGCAGCCTGCATTTTATGGCATGGATTTATTGTCAGCTTTGACACAGTAAAGCATCTTAATTCTCCGGCAGTTTGACCAAAGGGGGAGAGTGAAGAGCGACTGTAACAAGGGGAGTGTAGGGGAGGAGAGGATGAGGATGATGGAGGAGGAGCAGAAACAGGAGAAAGCATCTCACCTCTTCCTGCTGCCTGATATTGGTGTAGTCTGACATTGTCCTATGTGTAACATTATCTTTGACATTTTCTGACCCCCCACCCCCAGCCGTAAGCTCTGAAAAGGTCATAGGTCCAGGATTTTAATGAGGAACTGCAGCGGTGCATTGTTCCTGTGGGTCTGCAATAGCGAAGACGTGAGGTTGCAGTATGTAAGTGGTCGTGTTTAAAAGCTCAGTCTGCATACTTCCATCTATTCCATCACATATGATATGTAGCAAAATTATCAGCACATTGAATCTTAAATTATTTGATAGAAGGAGAAGTCGAGGTACAGACCAGACACATGGGTGTGACGCTAAAGTGGTGCATAAGGCATGAGGAAGAATGAGTTAATGCATGAGCAATGAAAAAATAAAAACCCAGAGAAGAGAGGAAGAGAAGAAAGAAAGCAAAATCTGACAAATAGTGAGCGATGGAGTGAGAAGATGAGTGAAGTCGTGAGCCATAGATTCTGTGTCTAACAAGAGGATACAGTAGAATCAACATTGATCTGTGGCAGGCGGGGTGATTAGGTATTGAAGAGGTCATCTCATTGGCAGAGGGCTGCTCTGGGTGTAGTACAGAGGAAGAGAGAATAGAAGGAGATTGTACAACAGACGAGAGAGGAGAGAGATGTAGGGGGATAATACTAAGAGAGGGACACAGAGTGGTGTTGGGTTTCAAATAAAGTGCAGAATCTGCAGATCTGACCTGAGCCCGGCACATCAGCTGCTCTGTGAAGGTTGCCAAGATAAACCCCTCATGGGGTTTCGGCTTGTCCGTAACGAAAGTTTAAAGTTACGCAGAGATACATCTTAGAAGGGAGCGCACAAGCAGCGACAAACAGGGCTGAGGATACAAATATAGAACATACATGTGTTCTTTGTGCACACAGAGCACAGGTTCTTTGCTGCATGCAGGGCTAAGACGTCCCCGTAGGATGCAGGTGCAGTGACGATGATTGACTTTGCCGAGTCTGCAGCAGAGGTCAGGTCTTGTATTTGCATCTCCTGGCGCAGAAGATGCTTCGCTAGGCAAGTTTGGTCCCTGCATATGTTCCCCAACCACTCCTCTCTTCTAGTTTTTTCTTAATTTGTTTCTTCTTTCTTTCCTCATTTTTCTTCCTCCTTCCTCTTTTTTTCCTTTAGCCAAAGTCTTAAAGAAAAAGCCACCGTAAAGTAGAAACCCTGTATGTTTTTTTTTTCGCATTATCCTCGACATTTAACATTTATATTTGTTCATTTATAAAAAGGAGTGCAATGAAATTAGAACTAGGGGAATGAGTCTTAAATGAGCTGTTTGACATAATAATAATAAAAATGATAAAAAAAATTAATAAGACACACATGTTCCAGTTTGTAATCATGATTCAGTGTTTTAATTGTTCAGTTATCGAACAAATCTGAACACACAGATGTGACATATTTTTAGATTCAGCATGATTTACAAATTCTGAGGTTATTATCGCTGAAGTCCATCGGAAGTAAACGCCCATAAATCTACTTAGAAATCCAGAACTCCAGAGCTTGCCTGAGAATCATCACATTTTTACGTTTTCTTCATTACCAAAGTAATCCAGTTGTAGCTGTCTGTAGATTCCTGGGTACATTCCAAACAGGAAGTGCAAATAGCTAATTCAGTATACTTATAATATACTATATAATATAATATATAATAAATTTAATCAATTGAAAAATGAGGGCTCAATTTGACTTCCCCCAAAGCATTATGGGAACTGTCATCACAATATGGAAGCTGTAGAAAGAGAGTCTAAAATGGTGCTTTGGCACTATTCATGATTGCTTTGTATTTTGGTTGAACTAAAATGATCCCCAGGTTGATCATGTGACCTGTTGTTCTGCACATGCTGTAGTAATGTAGGTTACATGATCAGTCTGAACTGTGATTACTGAAAGATAATGCATGAACATTTGCATTGACAACACATGAAGTACTCCTATTTATTGAAAGATTGATATTCTATATTTTTCTCATTGTCAGCAAAACCAACACTGAATTGATCCTATTGACACGCTGCTGTGTCGTTGGGATCAATGTTGCACTGGGTGACAAGTTAAACACACACACTGTTGTTTATTTAGAGTCAAGCACAAATATACCTTCCTGCTGCTTTAAATGTTCACTAGGGCACCGAATTATTAATCCGCAACTGAAAATAGTCCCCAACAAATTCATTATTAACTCATGTTTGAATAATGTTTGCTAAAAACTACAATGCCCAACTGTTTTAGGGGATTATTTAACTCTTTTTCAAAATAAAAGTATAGTTTCTTGAGCTGTTTTTTCAAGATTTAAGTCTTCAATAGGAATGAATTAGTTTGGATTTGAGAGTCACAGACAGGATATATAAATCAGAAAGATAGACTAACACATTGTGGGTTTATGTGGGGTGTGTTGACAACAATATGTATAGTAGGTACTTCTCCTTTAATCTGACTCAATAAGAGTCAGCATATCTGTGTGGCATGTGTTTTTTTTTGATTCTGTAAATCCAGCCTTGCACCACACTCATCTTAATGTTCTATTTCTGTATCGGTGTCCTACAGGGAAGGTGTACGTACACTGCAGAGAAGGCTACAGCCGCTCCCCCACCATGGTCGTTGCTTACCTCATGCTGCGCCACAAAATGGATGCCCGGCTGGCGGTGGCCACCGTGAGGCATAAGAGAGAGATCGGCCCTAACGACGGCTTCCTTCGCCAACTGTGCCAACTAAACGAGAAGCTGGCAAAGGAGGGCAAGCTGAACGGCGAGGTGGGAAAACTAAAGACCAAATGACATTAAGAGACCCTCTGCCCTCTGTCTCCTCCCATCATGCCTTTCACAGGCTTCAGCTGCTCTTGGGAGACTGGCCCCGCCCAGACTAAACCAGCACCCATCTGACACACCAGGGGTATTCTGAAACACAAACATACATGCATTTATCTGTGTAGAAAATTTTTCCTCATGCGCACACACACACACACACACACACACGCATACACACACACACACACACACACACACACACACACACACACACACACACACACACACAATATCTCACACACATGTACATGCTGTTTTCTTTTCAAATCTCTAGTCCACGTCTCTCTCTGCTGCTGTGGGAGGGGACATCTGTCAGTCCTCTCCCTGCTCCTTCAAAGAGTGTGATCTCAAAAACTTAATACAAACAAATCCCTCATCCCCCTTTTTTTTTTACCTCTACACCACACAGATCTGCAGACGTCTCACTGCGAGTACCTGAAAGCTCTAAATTCAAAAGCCAGTTTTGAGCTGAGCTACTTAAAGCATTCCTTCAATTCCCACAAGTTAAGATGGTGAAAACTTTTTCGCCTTGATTTTTAAAATGTCCTTAAATAGTTCTATATATATATAGATATATATATCTATATATATATTTATGTATACATACAAGATTATAGCACAATCATTCCATAGTTTTCCACTGCCGGGAATGTCAGCGATGTCTCCGCAAGCAGGAGTTCCAAATAGACTCCTAAAATTGAAAATTCAGTGGCCTCACACGATGCAACCTGTCGACAATGGATGGAGGGAAATCCCAAACATTCCAGGAAAACTGAAAAATGCCCCTCAGACTTTTATTTGCCCACCCAACCCTTACAATCTTCTTCCCGTAGGGGCAGATATCTAATGCACAAACACAAAAATTCACACTCTACTGCATCAAAAAATGCAAGCTGTAGCTCTATGTAGCATTTCAGTTTCCTTCAACCTATGGCCTCTAGTTTGACAGCGGTAGATGACACAGAGCAGCGGAGTCAGTGAAGCCGGCGCCGACAACAGCAAAGGTCGAGCTAATTAAAAATAATGAGCTGCGTGGGAGTTTCATGTAGCCGCCATGTTGTTCAGAAGAGCTACATATGCTGTATTTTAGTTTGTCATTGAGCTCCATCAACCTCCACACAAGATACAGTACATTTAGTTAACTGTTGCTTTAATCTGAGGATAAACACTGGATTGAATATCATGTTAAAAATAAGAAAATGATTCTCCCACAACTTCAAATTAGCTTAGTTACAGAGATTCTAATCTAATTTTCCTGAATTCTTCTACATTAGAAATAATAAGAACAACATGTATTTGAAGTTATGTTTTTTGTTATAAAGGCAGTAGGAGACGAGTAGAACTGGACTGAGAGACAAAATGTCTTTACGCAGTAACCTGTTCATTCATCCAGGACGCAAAACAGAGGTTTACACTTGTCTGAATATAGTCTTTGTTTTTTAACACAATCTGCAGGTTCAGTTTGTGTGTTAGAGGCTACTTAATATAAGTTTCACTCATTTTGAGCCCAGAATATTTCCTACAGGCATTTAGAAAGTACCTGGTCGCGCGGACAGACTCAGAGTGTCTACACAGGAGGCGTCTGACGGGACATTATAATAATCAGTCCAGCTGTCCACACAGGCCACGTAATCACTGCAGTTTCCCTCGCGTTATACACACATAAACCACTTCAAGTAGTTTCTTCTGTTTAATGCACATTACTACAGTGATTATGTATTAGACTATGGTCGCTGCAAAAACCAACACTCTGACCTACAGTCAGTACTGTGCCTGAACGCATCCTGCACAAACACAGAGGGAGCACTGAAGCTGCTGCTGCTGCTGCTGCTGCTGCTCTGCTTATATGCTGCTTTCTCTGTGTGGGCTGCGTATACACCGTGTTAAAATCTTCTTTTATTTTTGTGTATTTAAAATATATATCTATAGTAACTCATATTTCCTGAGCAGAACACTGCTAAATCTCTTTTTCCTCCTGTTTGGGTGTAAATCATTCACATTCAGACCAACTTTGGTCCTGCATGACATGAAAAAACACAGCCCCCTCATTGATTTGAATGAAGGCAGTTCGGCCAAGCAGCTACGACGCCGAAGGTGACAGCATCCCACAAAATATGCTTAAGCAGCGCTGAACAATTAACTGAAGTAACCAAATCGCAGGAGCTGCAGTTTTTTAATAAAGGTAAAATGTGTCACAACAGACCGTGAATGAAGCATTGTGGTGCTAGAGAGACGCCCCCAGCCTACAAATCATATTCTCCAGACGTAAAGGAACATGCTTGTTTGGTACAAGACCAAACAAAAATCATTTTTATATATATTTCTCAGTGAAAATGAAAATGCAAACATGACCTTTCCAAACTAAATCGTGACTCATATCGCAATATGATTTCACCCCTATGTGTAAATTTTGGATTTCTACTATTAACTCGCGATCGTCGTGATATAAGAGGAAGCGATAACTTTCATTTTCATGACTTGCTGTTTTTGGTCTGAATGTTTGCTAACTGCGAACGTACTCTCAGTCTGTGCGCCCTACCACAAGGCTTTCCAATTAAATAGCACAGAGTCGTTACTCTAATATACTAGTTAACTCTTTCTACAGAACATCCATAGCACATCCGCACAACTACACACAACATGGCAGCAGCATTAGGTGTGTTAAAAGCTGTCTGTGCCAGTTTACCACCTTCAAACCAGAGGCCTTCAGTTTTAAACTGTCAAATGCAGAAGGATGCCACCCACTTCCACCAGAACGTTCCAGTCATCATGCCAGAGAGTTGTCCACTGCCAATTCCCTGACACAGCCATTCGGCCAGTATCCAATACCACTGTTTCATCAACACAGTTTGTCAGAGGTCCATACACAACGTGTCACGTGTCTCACCCCTAAAGTGTGTGTGTGTGTGTCATACAGTAACTTAATATTCCTGACTTTATGCACACACAGGGTAAAAGCCTTTTTTTTTTTTTTTTTTTTTTTTTTTTTGTTCGTATGTACTAAAGTTTTGCAATATATGTCAATACCCGATCAGATATATAGAATGTAATCACATCTAACTATGAGTATTCAGGCTGTAGTTGTCACATATAGGCAACGGTAGTTCAACAGTACTTTTTGAGAGACACTGTATTTAACACTGGGCGTATTACTGTAAACTAGACCTAGTGCCAGGAAGGACAGTGATGGAGTGTTTTTAAATCCTGCACCAGGATTTGCTCTTGGGAGAGACGTATTGTGAGAACGAGAAAGTGTGAGGTGGAAAGTCAGAGCTCTGCTCAGTTTGCACGCTGCACTCAGAAAGGCGCGCCGGTAGTCCAGCCACTATGTCCCACACATTAGATTGCATATTTCTCCAGAACAAACAGCCTGGGGCATGTTAGCATGAATCCAGGGGGATAGTTATCTCACTAGAGGGGAAAACGGAAACTAGGTTTGTCTCACCTCATTAATGGCACTATTTATTCCTCCTTTGATATATCTGTATACATATGAATATATACATGTATACTGTATATACATATTTAAGTGTTGACATATATGAATGTATAAGCAATGTGTCTATAACGTGTAGGTATCGTCGGTATGTCTTAAGTCCTAATATATCATGTTATATTTGTATATGACATCACAAAGTAGCTACTCCATTTTTTCTGTTTCACAGTTAATTACATGTACATTAATATTCCAATATGATGTGCATGTAAAATGTTCTGTGTAATTGTGATATGTCATATCACAATTGTGCAAAACTTGCAGGGTTTTTTTTTTTTTTTTTTTTGCAAGCTTAGCTGGGATACCGAGGCATGAAATCATCGTGTTTACTAGTGTTTTGTGCAGTTTTAAGTTGCCATGGTGACGCTGATTTATTCATGATATACTAGCAAGATGCAGGTGGCAGCATAAGATGCATATGGATTGTCCTGCATATGACCTTACTGCGTACATGTCATCACGTCCAGGGATACACTCATGCTTTCATCTCCTCATATGGTGCTTTGGAACATTTATAGCCCTTCCTTTCTTTCTTGACAGGAGTTGGAAATTTTCTGGCTTTTTCTCTGGATGAGAATGAAGTGATTCTCCAGCTGCACTTTTCCATTTCAATGCAGTGTTCTTAGCTGCAGAACACTCGACTGGCTTTTAACTCACTCGTGATGTAGCGGGCTGCAGACGCTCCAGCAGGGGGAGCTGTTCAGTCAGTGTTGACATGTTAACACCTGTCGACCTCCGCCACATACGGGCAAAAAAGTGCGTTTCTCTTCTTTTATGATTTTTATGATTTTTTTTTTCATTTAATTTCTTTTCTTATCTGTCTATGAACAGGGCATGACACAAAATTTTAGCCACTATTTGTCCTTTCTATTTTCAATTATTATTTTCCATATTTTACACTTTTCCTGTGTTTTATTTGAAGTGTTGATCCATAAGAAGATATATTTGTGGTTTTAAGAACCAAAAACCATCTTAAATGTAGTTTCACATCTCCTCTCTCAGGCTTCTCTCTGGAGCTCTAGTAACAACAGGTCGGTGAGACTTTATACAATATGGGACCTTTAAGTCCCATATTTTGTAGGAATTTATGATGCTCGTTTTCACTATTTTCTGATGTTTATAGACCAAAGTAATCGAGGACACAGTTGTCAGATTAACTGATAATGAATTTTATTCCTAGTCCAAAGTTGTACTAGAATTGCGTTGCTACATAATTTGAAAAAAAAAACAAAAAAACATAAAATGTGTGTATAATCAATGTGAATGGTCTTTGGGGAAAAGTAACACAGACTGAAATTAACATAAATAGAGCCAGAGGAGCCATTTTTATAGTGTGTTTATACAGCGATCACATCATATAAAATCGAACTTTAGATTAAAATCTCAAGACGTGCATTGAAATGTCCAGTGTTGCTGTAATATCTGACTCACTGTTGGCCGAGAGGAAAAGTCAGAGACGGGGATACTATCACAG